GCGTGGTACATCGGATAAAAACTCCACCGGGCCTGGTAGTACGTGAGAACTGGAGACGAATCCCCCAGTGACTCCAGGACCCGAGAAGAGCAGAGATTACGATGATGCAGGAGAAGGGGATTATCTGCGAGTCTCGCAGCGAATGGTGGAGTCCCATCGTGGCGGTACCTAAGCCGGATGGAAAAATTTGCCTCTGTAACGACTACCGGAAGGTAAATGCAGTGGCTAAGTTTGATGCCTATCCCATGCCCCGGGTAGACGAACTGGTGGAGAGCATCGGACAAACTAACTACATCTCCACATTAGACTTGACCAAAGGCTACTGGCAGGTCCCCGTAGCCCCTGAAGATCAGGAAAAGACAGTGTTTGCCACTCCGTGGGGCCTCCTTCAATTCCGACGAATGCCGTTTGGGTTGCACGGAGCGGCAGCCACATTCCAGCGATTTAATGGATAAAATTTTGGCTCCCCACAGGGGTTATGCCGCAGCATATATCGATGACATTGTAATATACACAGAGGGTTGGGCTGAGCACCTCACTGCACTGAGGGCGGTACTGCAAGATTTAAGAAGGGCTGGGTTGACAGCCAACCCAAAGAAATGTACAGTGGGGGAAAAGGAAACGCAATATCTGGGGTTCCTAGTAGGAAGTGGAAAAGTGAGACCTTTGCTAAGCAAGGTGGAAGCAGTGCAGAAATATCGAGCACCCCGTACTAAAAAGCAAGTGAGGGCTTTCTTAGGACTGGCTGGTTATTATCGGAAGTTTATATCCCACTTCGCAGATGTAGTGATACCACTAACAAACATGATAAAAACAGAGGCGCCGACCAAAGTGAAATGGACATTGGAAGCAGAAGAGGCATTCCAAGCCGTGAAGGATGCGCTGTGCCTACAACCGCTTTTGTATACTCCAGACTTTAAAAAAACCTTTCTTGGTACAGACCGACGCATCAGATGGGGCTATTGGGGCAGTGTTAGGGCAGCAAGAAGGGGAAGAAGAGCACCCTATAGCATACATAAGTCGGAAATTACATCCACCGGAGCAAAGTTATGCCACGGTGGAGAAAGAATGTCTAGCGATGAAGTGGGCTAATGAGACCCTGCGATTATTACTTGCTAGGGCAGTGGTTCACCTTGGTCACTGACCACGCGCCCCTACAGTGGCTGCAGAAGATGAAGACGGATAACGCAAGGCTGATGAGATGGGCCCTTAGTCTGCAGCCGTATTGTTTTGAGGTGAAACAGCATCCCAGAACCCAAAACAGAAATGCTGACTTCCTCTCAAGACAATATGAGGAAGAAGTGAAGCCAGGGAGGCCAGGAGGCTACCGGGTAAGGAAGAGAAATAACAGAATAGCAGAGAAGCAGGTCCTCAATGACTGCAGTGAGGCACTCACCGCCCCCGTCAGGAAAAGTACACCAGGACCAAAACCATCTACGCGAACATGGAGAAAGTAGGAAAGAAAACAGGCCTAAAGGCAATCCACCAAGGTTGGCTAATGTGGGGGGACTGCCTGTGGTGGGGCAAATCCCAAGAAATACCACATGTTGCCCCTTGGGTAAAAGGCAAGGAGGAGGTGCCTCAAAACCTCCACCAATGTAAAGGTAGAAAACTGAAAAGCAAGGACCTGAGCCTAAGAGGTGGATGAGCAGTCGTGGTATGAATAACGGAAGACTTGGCTCGGTGAGTCGTGAACTGAAGGGGGGGAGGTGTGTAGCAGGGCACTAGGGTGCCTGCTACTGGTAA